GAATTTTTTTATGCGCGCTTCGTCGGCTTTTGGTATGTCATTGTGTAGATTTCGCGGGTTTTTGCGGTTCCTTTACAGTTATTAGTCATATTTGACTCACTTGATTTACTGTTGTGTTATGAATATCCATTACGAGAGAGGTGTCGGAAAAATTCTGCTCTAGGAACGGTTTATGCTCCTTTTTCGTCTACTAAAAAAATCCCCGGTACAGTAACTCAATCTCGAGATAATTGTGCAATGAAAAACCCATTAGGTTGTAGAAAATCGAGTTTTATTACATGGAAATATCCTCTCGTGAATAGTGCTATATCTTTTTATGGGATCAAATTGGATTTATTGACGATTAGATGCGGCTTAATAACTGAAAGTGCATTGTACAACTATCTCTGTAATGAATCATCCTGCAGTAAAACAAAATCGAACTGATAAATGCACAAACCGGTAGGTCTATTGTGCTGATAGTTTTAACAGCGGTATAAATGATTGCACAGATAAAAGTGGTCTGGTCGAGGTCTTTCTGCTTCCAAACATGCGAGACGAATTATTGTGCTAAAATAGGACAGCGATATTGCTAGCGCGCTTCGTCTGTACAGATTTGGTAAACGTGGTTAAAGCTGATTGGAATAGAATGAGGTTCATTTATTCTTCTTCAACCATTAACATACATTTCTCTCCGTGTAAAGGTAAAATAGGAAGGACAAATTAAGTCGTTACAACTAACTAAAAGCCATTCATATGAGACATATAAGTAAATTGCGTAAAATGTTCTGTCGTCATTTATAAATTAGTCTTGATATCGTGTTTCAGGTTGAAAGTTGACTTTTACGTATTTAGTTACTCAGAAACGCGATTTTTGTACCCACTAAAATTGTTATTGTTGTTTCTTGCTTCATACTATTTTTGATTTCTGTCTGTCAAATACTGCTTGTTGAACTTGCGGCCAGACATTGTCTACTTTTCAGTCTGTTTCCTATCAGAGTATGAAACAATAGGTCTCCGTTTCCGTCTGTATGTCTGTCGTCTATGTCGATTTTTTGTTTATTTTAGAAATATCATGTACATGATAAAATGCTAACCAAAATTTGTCTTATCATGCCCACCAACATTTCAAAATAACATAGCCCAGTACTTGTGGTTTATGAATCCGCTTTGATTTTGTTTATTATTATGTTTATAATTTAATCCTGCTTCTTCATGAGACGCTAATGTCAAGCTGAACAAGTGTCTGGTTGAAATTGCATCTGAAAGGTCCCGGGTTTTTTTATCAAATCAAAAACGGTTTACTCCATTGTCTCGAAAATTCGCGAATACAGTAATCTTGCACCCGCCTATATTTAAACTGATAAAATTATCATCATAGTAACGGCTATTCATACAAAATAATATTCAGAATAAATACTTTGTTAGTGTTAAAAACTTACAAATCCAGTTTTACACAAGTCAGATACAACAATGCAAATCAGTAAACTATTAAATTTTCTATACCGAAATAATCCTGAAAACTGTAAAAACAATTTACAGTAAGAAAAGTGTAAAGTTTTTTTTTTAATATATACATATTACTAGGCTTATTGCGAAACACCAGTCTTATAATGTTATACAATTTTGATTTTTTTTCCCAAAAATCTGGATGTCTATGGTGAAAACTCAACACGGATTCACACATTACAAGTGAACGAGAATCTTATTTTATAGAAATAAAAAAAACATATTATTGTAAACTTTGGAGATGACGTCATCCCATTGGTGGTGGGGATGGTTTGTTAAATTTTGGTGAGATTTCTAATATACGTACAGACGGAAACAGAGGATCACTTTTTTCGAACGTCGAACTCCCAGGAAGTAAAAAGAGACCTAAAATGTATCCTTGAGGCACACAAGGAGGTAATTAGAGAATATTCCATCGAAAGTGATTTTTTGGATTCTATTACAGAGTGGGATAATAATAAACGATAACTAATACGATGTAAATTGTAGAAATAAAGTTTATGAAGCAATATGGAATGGGAAACACAATCGAAGGTCTTGGTTAGGTCTAGAAAAGAAATTGTAATGAAAGTACCTTGATCAGAGCATTTTGCTCCAAACAAACAAATTCAGTTAAACTCCACTTTCTTTTAAATTCTTTATCTGTATCTGTACGTGCTTAACAGTCGAACTGTTTATGTTAACCGTGTACTGATAATATATTTTGTAATCGAATCCATTGGACGAATGACCACTTTTATGCTTCCTCGACGTTTCATGACCCCAACAGTACGAAAAAAGTAGTCTGTCTGTCTGTATCCATTTTTATTAGGCACTAAATCGCCGAAAATGCTGGACTGATTGTTGATAAATTTTGAATGTATATTAGAATATGTAGATGGTTAAATGCTAACCAAAATTTAGCTAATCATCTCCACCAACAATTTGATGACGTCATTCCAATGAATGGTATTTTAAAATGATTTGAATGTTCCACAAAAATATACTCATATACTTGTAGTGTACGAATCCACTTTCAGTTTTGTGGCTAAACGTTCAAATTTTCGCAAAAACATTTGCAAGGTATAATAACGTTTTATTTCCGACACGGTTTGAACGTGTCCGTGGCGCAGTGGGTGCATCGCAGAGAGCGGCGATCAAATTTTGTGTTGGTTTCTCGAAAATGTAAAGAGTACGCACGTCTTTATATAACAATGATAAAATTGGAATATAATATTCAGAACATTTTGTTCAATTGTGGATTAATTAATAATTAGTCCTGTTTTGAGAAGACAACCTCATTCAAATCAAACTAACTTCTATGTGGCATTCTTCCGATGTATAAACATAAAAACACTGAAGCTTCAGATTGCTTTGTTGAATAAATTTTACCAAAAGTTTGTAAAATATGATTAGTTTTTACTTGGGATTAATATTTTTTAGATTTGCTTATACATTGTGGGTTCCTTGAACTTTGCCCCTCGGCACAAGGCATGCTTCTTTACCTGCATTTTAACACACATCTTTATTTTGACTTATATGGATTGCCATAAAACTCGCAAAATTAAATTTTATAATACTCCGATTAAACTTGAAAATTTTCGGCCTATATTTTCTTTCAGTAACTATAAAACTAGATGCGAAAAACGGATTAACTAAAAAAAGACTTCCATCAACGAAAAGAATTGAGGCCCACTCAAGGTCGTGGTTTCTTGACGGACGGTACTGCTATGGTTCCTGAGGAGGCGGCGACGCTTAAACGAAGACGTATCGTTCTCACTCCCGCGTCCAACGACCGATTGACATTCCCGCAGCGTCGGCGTGGCGCGGTTGTCACGAAATCGCCTGTCCATCGTGTTTTTCTTCTTCTACAGTTTATTTATTTTTACTTGTAATAGATTTCCTGTGTCCATCTGATGGTCAGTTTTTTTTTAAAGAGAGAAATTTTTCATCACGTAATTTCTGAACGCGATTTTCGCCACTGTTTTCAGCTTGGAGAACTCTAGACACTACTCAAGAAGCAGTATAGACTTTTTTTTGGAAATGAGATACAGTAAAAACAATTTTTTACACACTTTTAAATACACCCATCAACCACAGCATTTTCCACAGAAGCAAAATTTTAACAAAATATTGATATCATAATTCACGAAAAGTGAACGGTCAACAAACCCACTATAATTAAGTTTCTACGCAAACGAAGTTTGAAATATGTATGATCCAGCATACCTATTAATGTTAAAGTGCATCACAGCACAGTTTTTAGCAGTACGTGTAGTAGTAGGTTGTTCTAGGATTTATATAACCTTAATAGAACTGTAGTTATTCGTACCTCCCAGAAAGGTAATGACGTCAGTTTAATAACTATCAAATATTTAATACACTAGAAACGCACCATTACTTGTATTTTAAAGCTTGCACGGGATATTAAAATAATTATAACATAATATTTTTATACATATCGATTGTTATCAGAAACGGTTCATCCCATTTCGCTGCAATTTTATGGACGGAATTGGTATTTAATGTTGCATGGTACATATCAAAACGAATGTGTTTGTACTCACCGAAAGTTATTACTTTGGCACTTTGCACAAAATGAACTCAAAAACCATCCATAAAAAAACGAATTGCCAAAATTTATATTTGCGAAAGAACATTGACAACTAACCAAATTAAACTAACAATGTATAAAAATCACGAAAAGTTAAAACACAGTAGCAAAGCGGGAGATTAAAGACTGCAATTTATAACCCTCTTTAAAAAAATATGGTCTGTAAGTGTAGGTGGCATTGTGGACGATTTAAAGTGCTACAATTGAATTGAATAAAATTAAAACTAAAAAGATTATAGGAAGTTGCGATAAGACTACTACTAAAATTGGTCCTTGCAAATAATGATCGTGAATACAGGTCGTAATATTGAACAGTTGTAAGAAATGAAACACAGAATTTTCTTATACCGGGTGTCCAATGAAACGATGCTTATGACAATTTTTTTTATAAAATTTTTGGTAGATTAACCTCTTTTGATTTTCTTCTGTCTTGTACTGTCTATTTACGTTTTGCGGTATTTTTTACTGCCTTAATTTTTGTTTTTGTTTTATTAATGATCATGCCGAACGTTTTAGCGAAGAAAATTATTAACTCTTATATGTACATGCAGAGTGTTTCAAATCACATAATTGCCCAAAATTGTTTCAAAATTGCTACCTACATCGGAAACAAATTATATGGTGAAGAATCTACGACTGACGTCTGTTAAGCGACATTGTAGATATAATTGATGGCAGCTCTTCCAGTTTCGCCGGAAATGAAGACACTGTTTTTGCTTGGATGAATTTGCCTTTTATCTATTTTTTTTTTGTGAATAGAAAGAGAAATGAATTCTTCAGCAAGTTATTTAGCAAAATCTTTTTTGAATCGTCTTTGAAAACTCCTTTTCAACAAAATTTGTCTTTATTTTACAATTCTAAATCATTTCAGAAGAGAAAAAATTGAGATCACAAACTCTCTTAAGTAAGAATTCATCATTTAGCGCACCATTTTTGCCCATTTTGCAACGACAAAACCGCCCAAAATTTCACCAATTCCATGTCCAATCGTCTCTGCACCACTGCCCATACCACGCTTAACCCATTTCTGCCTAATTGACACACAAACCCATCGCCTGATGCAATCCGACAATTAGAAATTCTTCCAAATCATACTTAACAATACGCTTTTGCACATCTCTAATTACGTGTTACGCTTCCTCACCGTTTCTTTGTTTCAGATGTCACCGACGACCCAGACTGACGTCACCAGTTGATGTTAGGCGCAAGTCTTCATTGATACCAGTTGCTAAGCAAGGTAAACATCCATGATTTTCTGACCACTGTGTATATAGAGATGCGCGCGAGCCGTCAAGGTTACTGAATTTGACGCATCATTTGTGACATAAATCGATTCCATTGGAACGGATCGATGACATGCATCAGGAACTTCTGGAAAATTATTAAGTTGTAAAATGAAATGGTGTGGGAAGTTAGTGTTGGGATTAATGCTGCACGTGTAGTTCGTATTGTTGTTTTTTGTTTTGTTATCAGGGAACGAACTTGGACATGGAATGTAGGGAAAAAAAGATAAATCACTTTTCAGATAAACTCTAACATAATAGTTCGATAATAGTGTTTTTTTAACTTGACCTGACACAAATGAAAAATGGTGTTGGTTGGTGCCACTTCGTTTAATTATCTAGTGAATTTTACAACGATTACAAATATTTACTTCTTGTGTTTACGCAACTCTGGATCGATAAAATAATGGTTGAATAAAGAACGTGAATTTTGGAGTATATTCAGTGTAGAGTCATAAATTTACCGAGTTGTGGGTAAATTACAAAGTGTAAACGGTTGTACGACGTTTTTAGAATCAAAATCGCTCGACATTTTTTCCAGATGCATATATTAGTAGTATTCACATTAACTCGAGTGTTGTTACATATTCAAGAGACAGCTGGGTTCAGACATGGTCAAATTTGGTAATTTTCACTAAACGGTATTCCGGCTGTTGGATATGCAAATCGAAAATGCGGTTGTGGAATTTGATCACACGATTATGGGCTCATTAATTTTTTAAGATCATGGCGTGATTACCATGAGAATAAAAATAATTATTAATCACAGCTTGACGTTAGTATAAGCAAGGGCGTGCTGTTTCTAGTGAACAACAAATTTCCAATTTCACGGTTTTCAAGAAACTTGTTATGAGTTGTCAGAAATACCTTGTTCCAGTGTATTAAGTGTTAAATAGATAGGCGTTAGTGTTTTGACTGATATGTGAAGCGATTTTTCATAACTTCAGAAATTTGTTGAGTTACATATGTTCGCTATTAATATTCACGTGTTAAAGGTAGCCAAATGTTAAAATATTAAACGTTTTTGCGTCCACGTGTTAAATGAATTTGAGTCCATTTCTGCCTCCCTCCTATTTCCTATCATTCCATTTTCTGGGCTATCTCTGTGTCAAAATTTCTACATAATTGTTTTACTCATTTCTGTAATTTTTGTCTATGTCTGAGTTCAAATAGGTGTATTGTCTAAATTTTTGCTTCCTGAAATATTTGTTTGAATGTTTCTGTTTCCCACTTCTCACCACTTTTTGCCAAAATAATTTTAAAATCATGTACCAAATTTTCAGTACTTGGTGTGGAGTTTCTTCTCTCCTTCTATTTTCTCACTTTTCCTTTTCGTTCCTCTGATCTCCCTTGCTCCTTATATCCCCTGTTTCGTTTTTCTCCCATCTCCTCTGACTCCATCCTCGATTTTCTCCTTTCACTCCCTGTTCTCTTCCCTTGGATTTACAGTGTCAAAGTTAATTTGTAAAATGTTGATACACATTTTTTTTCTAAAAATCTGATCAAAACAAATTTACAAATTATACATATAAAATCTTGTTATATTATAAAATTTAATTGGACGAGCAGACGGAAATGGAAGACCTATTTTTTCGCACTCTAGGGATCATAAAACGTCGAGAATACTTGAAAGTAGCCAACGGTCCGATAAATCGCTACTTTAGCTTACGCTCGGTAACTCGTAAGTTGCATATGTCAGCTCAGGAAAGAAAAAAAGACAAAAAAGGTGACAATTGTAAAAAAACAACACTAATACTCTTTGTCAAAACAGTTTTTAAATAGTATTTCGCATTTTCAGTATTGGATATCTCTATAATAGTAACATTCTTTTTCTGAATCTCTTTATTATGTCACTCTTTCTTTTCCTTCTTTTCTGTTTCTCTTTCTCTCTCCGTTTTGCTCTCCATTTTCTCTCCACCCTCACTCTCCCTTCTTTTTCTCTCATCCCATATCCTTCTCTCCTTTCTTCTTCCCCCGTCCCCTTCTTTCTACATTTCCTCCTTTCTGTGTCCCGTTTTCTTCCGTTCTCTCACTCTTCCTCCGATCTCAGTCCTCTTCCTATATTCTCTCACCTTTTCCTATGTTTCTCACTCCTCTTCCTCCGTTCTGTCCCACTTCTTACTTCGTTCTCTGTCTGTTCCCCCCGTGCTCTTTCTTCTCTATCACTTTTTTCACTTTATTGCTCTCATTTCTCTCGCATTCTTCCCCTCGTTTTCTTCTTGTTCCCCTTACTTCTCTGTGTATTCTTTTTTTTCCTCTCCTCTCGTTCTTTTTAATTTTTTCTCTCCTCTCCCTCTTTTACGCCTCAAATTATTATGTTACAAATTAAAGTAAAAAAGTAACGGAGTTTTAACTTTTGCTCCCCTATGATTAATGATACTTGTATTTAGCATATAACTTATAACTATGAGATTTTTTCTTTGTTTTCATTGTCTCACTTTCCCTATTCGATCTCTCTTTATTTTTCTCCTTCGATTTTTCTCTTAACTCCACCTCCACTTTTCCTCATTTCTTCTCTCACTTTTTTCTGTCTTCCGTCACTTCATCCTTTATTTTCTCTTTTCGTTTCCTTTTTCATTACTATTTCTCCTATTCTCACTTGCTCTCCCCTCTTCCCGTTTTTTTTTAATTTTGCTTCGTCCTCTCTCCCTTTACTCGTTCTTTCTCCTTTTACTCCCTTCTCTCTTTCTTACTCCGTTCGCTCTTTCCGTAATCGGTTCTTTTTTCTCTTACTTCGTTCTTTCTTCTTTTGCTCCGTTCTTTCTTCCCTCTCTCTTTGCTCTCCTTCTCTTTCCTCGCACTGCCTTTTCTCTCGCTCTTTTTCCTCACACTCTCTTTCTTCTCCCTCTTTTTCCTCTCCTTTTTTGCTCTCCCTCTTTTTCCTCCGCCTCTTTTCTCTCCCTCTTTTTCCTCTCCTTCTTTTTCCTATCCTTCTTCTTCCCTCCCTCTTCCCCTCTTTCTTCTTCCTCTCTTCCGTCTTCATCCTTTCCTTCTAACTTCTCTCTCTCTATTTCTCTTTATATCTCCTCTCCTTAATTCCACTCCTCAAATTAGTTCGAAATTGTTTTGTTAACGAGTTGAAGTACCAAAATTATTGTTTTTTTTTTAAATTTTGCGCTTTTACTGAGGTATATGGTATTTGCCTCATAACTGTGAGATTTATTCTTTGCCTCTCTTCATTGTCACAGTCTCTGCTGTCTGTGTCTTTTTTTTCCTCCTTGTCGGTTGTGTATATATCTATCTCTTCCCCTTCTCTGCCTCTTTCTCACTTCTTCTCACATTCCCCTACCCATCTCTAACCGTTTTTTCCTCTCCACTCTTTCTTTTTCTTATTTCTCGTTATATTCTCATTCCTTCTTTCTCCTCCGCCTCCTCCTCCAGTCTCTCTTCTCCTTCGTTCTCTTTCCCCTCGTTTTCTTCCCCGCCCCTTCGTTCTCTTTCCTCCTCTTTGTTCTCTCTATTCTTTCCCGGTTTTCTATCTTCTTCCGTTCTCTCTCCTCTTACTCCGTTCTCTCTACTCCTATCTGTGTTCTCGTCTTCTTCTCTGTCTCACCATTCTTAATTCAGAATTCTTTACATTATTTTGCCTTACTTGTCTAAGGAAGAATGTCACTGGTAGACGTGTTCAATATACATTTATGATAATGTTGATAACACGCAAGACCAAAATACATGTATTCTCGACACGTTTCAGCAGCTACGCTGCGTCATCTTGGCCTGTGATATTTGATAAGAATATACTTATTTTATGTTTTATTTTCACTTGCTTTTCACAAATCAATTGGATTGAAGATCGGCAGCACAAAATTTGTATGCGTTTCTGGAGGAAAATTCTTTCAATTTTAGTTTTCTGCTCTTTCAAGATGTGAGTATTATTATTATTCTGAAGTAACAACATACACACACGTTTTAGTTGCCATTAAGTTTGATATTATTAGTTTTTCTCAAGCTGATATCAAAAACTTAAGTGATTATCAGGATTGACACTCTGTTCACTCAGCTGTTCATTATCGTCGCATTTTATTATTAAATTAGTCTGATTTAGACTAAACAATCGTACTGATAAGTTACTTATTTCTATATCTACTTAAATACGCGATGTTCTTCCGGTTCGTACTCATGGTAACGACATTTATCAGTCACTTTTTGGGACCAAAATTTCAATTATAATTACTTTTCGTGTGCTGCATCAGCAATTTTTCTAGTGTTAACAATTCATGTGACACATAATAAACGACAGACTTGCCGATGACTAATCATTAAAATCGATAAGCGGGTAGCAACGTTGTCGGATATATCACCACCCAACTAGATCGTGCAACTCACATGGACATCATATTTTCATGTAACCTACGCGAATATAGAGCATTACGTGACGAGGTTCATTGATTTTCATTATTATTACTTAATTAGGTTTACCGAAATGAGTAAAAGCGACCCGCAGATGACAAAGTCTACATCTATAAAATTTCGTCAGGGAAATATGTTTCTGGAAACTGTTATATCAAAGCTGGAGGAATTTATGCGAAATAACAGGATATAATAATTATATAATGAAATAGTTTTTTTTTTTTTTAATAAGTAGTCCACTCGACTGATCAATATCAATTTATTTGACAAACAAGATAACAAACACAATCCTTTTGCAAATTAGCAGATATTTTTTACATGAATACCTAGTCGACTAATCAATCTCATCGTATTTGGCAAACAAGATAAGGAACAAAATTCTAATCTATGAAATAGGATCGTGTCAAGATCTTCTTGACACGAAACTATTTTCGTGAAGATGATCTTAAGCTTTGGCAAACGAAAATTGTTTTCTTAGTAACTATGAACAAAAGACCTCATGTCAAGAACTACCTCCTCTCCTATTTTACAGTAATTTTACGCCATTGTTTTAAATTTTTATTGCCTTTTCATCGGCGTCGTGAAACAGGTCGGTATTCAGAAAAATTTATATTCGTTAGAGATAGAGAGTAATAAGCGTTAAATATATTACATTAATGAATGGACACACGGTATTTCAAATAACTAACTTTCATCGGCGATTCTTCAAATTTAAAATTCCAATATTTTCAACTAAATAAATCGAAAATTCACTTTTATTGCTTGGCGTCGGGACTTCTACTTTCAACCGAGCGTAGCGACTCGCATTATCCATTACAGTAATACTATTGTGTGATAATTTTGCGTTAAACTTTCTGTAAATCATTTTTCAAACACGTCAGCGGTTTCAATACCGTGAGAATCGTATTTTCTTGTATTTAATCGTTTTTTGACGTTGCATGCACCTTTGAAGTCAGATGTTCTTATTCTCTTATTTTTTTGTAAATCAACAGTTTCATTTTTTCTATTTTTATTTTATACTTTATAATAAAGTCAAATGTTGTGAATAATACTCATTGTAGAAATATTTTTTTTTACTGTCAGAAGCCATGGCACAATCTTTTGTCTTGAAGTTGTCAGTATCAATTTTCAATTCATTGTCTATACTACTATTATAAAACATTTCAAGATCCAACTGTTCACTCATTTTGACTGACGGGTACTGCGGTAAGAAACGACCATCAACATACCATAAAAGTATTTAAACTTTAATAGCACCAGCTAATTATATACTATACACTAAAGAAACGTTCCAATGCACCATTTAATTTATCAATAAATAATTTATGCCCAAGGCTGGAAAAGTGATGAAAACGGGTCAATTCAGTACCGTTTGACAGTTCTTGTAATATAATTTAGGTTATTTTACCACGACGTTCCCTTTAAACTTGGTCCCTAAGCTATAAATAGGTACACATATACAGAAACGCTGACAACCCATGTATTATTTAAGTCCGCTTTACGTCACTGCAGTTTTTAATTACCCTAACCCAACTTTTTACCAACAGCCCATTAATATTCAACATTTCCAGTCGCGTCCCGCAAAAATAGCTCCATCAATATCACCTAAATTATAAAATTCCTTCATTTTTAAACCCCAAATCGATCATGTTCCTCCCCACGTAACCTCAACTCCTTACGTCAAATGCCCCCACCCTAAGGCCGCGTTCACACGATAGCGCTGAAGCGCAAATGAGCATCCTGTCGTGTAAGCGCTCCATTATCGAATCGTTCGATCCCCTTTTTTCGCTATCGGTGGCGCTCTATAAAGCGTGATGCTCACATACAGCAACGACTTTTTTGTCTTCTTTTATTAAGTATAGACATAATTGAAGAACGGACGCGCAACTAATCTCAAGTGGACATGATGGGGTCAATGGTCTCAGGAGTTTTTCGGCATGGATATGAATTGGGAGATTGTTATTTAATAGAGCGCGTTTAATTCGCATTATTGGAGGATGTTGAGTTGAAGAGAAGCACGTTGACGTTGTGACGGCGCGGGGGTTCGACTGAGTGGTGAGGAGGCACACATTAGCAAAGTGGAGCAACTAAAATTGTTGCTGGTGGAGATAAGTTCGAGCTTTGTGGCGCAGTTAAAAGGTGTTGAAATTTTACAACAAGGATGAAAACTAATGTTAATTACAGAATCAATATTAAAAGGTAACTCCGGTGAATCCCAAACAAGTAGTTGTTTGTTTCACTGAACTTAAACTTAGTTAGCGAAATTCCGCATAAGTAAACAGGCCCTTGGGTGTAGTAGCGGTTCTCTAAAATAATAATTTGATTAAAACATACAACAGATAATTGCCAGTTTCTAAGAATTCTAGTAATTTGAACCTTGAGGATTCACTACAAGATAATTCCAATGATTCATTCTTGTTCTTGTAATTCTGTTGAATTTCAAATTATTCCGCTTGTTTCTTATGAATAGAGAGCGGAAAATATGCAGCAAAATTTCGAGAAATATGATCATATGATATGCACCAAATTTATGCAAATATGCAGTAACTTTCTTAATATATGCAGAGATATGCAGTTGCATATGCTCCAAAAATAAAAAAAAGCTTAATAAGCGAACTAAATTTATTTATAAAATTCAAAAACAGGTTTCCCGAGCATACGTTTTATTACAAAAAATACATAAATCACATTGCAAACTGTTTAATTATATCTCACTAACACATAAATCACGTTTTTAAAGATAATATTCTTATACTAAAAAATAAATATAAACAGATCAAATTAAAAAATAGTAGTAATCCACTATTTAATTACTATTTTGGTAACAATTTATTTTTAGATATTTTTCGAAATATTCTAACAAAAAGTTTTTCCGGTGATTCTAAAGTAAATGTATTTGTAAATAGAAAAACTGGGTACTACGTCCACAGATGTAAAAATACTTACCGGTTTAGGGCAGGCGCGAGAAAACACATTTCGTTCTTGTAGAATAAGTTCAGGAAAAGGTTTAATCCATAAAATTTGAGTTATCTTCGACATATTGATACACCTGTATCCCTTTAAATGCTTTCAATACAAACTCACGATGAAAAATAATAGTATAACGTCCCTTCGATCACCACTAAACGTACCATTAATACACTTAACTAACGAACAAAAATATTGGGAATGAACGGTATTTTCAGAAGTAATTAAGGCGCGAATTTACCTGGAAGGATGGCTTAACACCCAGTGGTGTCTCCAAACTACCATAAAACCCAAGCCTTTTCTAGTTACTTGAAGCTCAGGACAATATTTGAAATATGATTAATAAAATTTGGTTTTTCTAGATAGATGCCCATAGAATGACAATTTTTTTTTTTCAAATTAGCACAAAAATTGATAAAAATGCAAAATATGCACCCGTTCCGTGAAATATGCAGCAGAAGGCAAATATATGCAAATATGCAATTTTTTTATAGCTGTATTCATTTTTAATTAGCATGATTCGCTCACATATTAAATATCAAGACTTATATGCAAAAAACAACGAATATGCAAATTTCATAAAATCCGCTGTCTACTTATGAATTTCACTTGGTGTAAAATATTTCCCGAAATTCCGGAGCATTCAGTAGTAAAGAGGTAATTAAT